TTGAAATCAAAAGAAACCACTGCAGCAAACATGAGTTCTAGTGATCTTTACCATTATTTCTCTACACAGACATGTGAAGGGCCGTGTTTTGGTGGCTCTGGCTGACGGTACACTGGCCATCTTTCACAGAGGTCTTGGTAAGACACTGTCAGTTCACTAATAATTCAGATACTCCTCTCAGTTTGACTTGAATTGTTAAAACCATCCTCGTTCTGCTTTTACAGACAGCCAGTGGGATTTAACCAACTACCACCTCTTGGACCTCGGCCGGCCGCATCACTCAATCCGCTGCATGACCGTCGTGCACGATAAAGTGTGGTGCGGCTACAGAAACAAGATCTATGTGATTCAGCCCAAAGCAATGAAAATAGAGGTTCATAATGATGTCTTAGTCTTCACTGTATTAGTTTTTGCATTTTTAGAATTGTGTTGCATGCCGTATTAGATGGAATTGCTTAAGTGGGATCCTTTACAGTGTGTTGTGATTTTTCTCTGTGTGAAACAGAAGTCTTTTGACGCCCACCCGCGTAAGGAGAGTCAGGTGCGTCAGCTGGCCTGGGTGGGTGACGGTATCTGGGTGTCCATCCGGCTAGACTCCACCCTCCGCCTCTTCCACGCTCACACCTTCCAGCATCTCCAGGACGTGGACATTGAACCTTATGTCAGCAAAATGTTAGGTGAGAATACTGTGAATATATGGTTTTAGGTTCATGGGGACAACCTCTCATATGATATGATATTATTATATTATATTATCCAGAAGAGTAAATTCTCTATAATTACACAGCTCTGAGAGGGAAGTTGTGCAATTTAGATGGTTAATTTACAAAAATAAATTTCATAATTTGTTCACCCTTATGTCACATACTTCCTTCTGTACAAGATTTTGGGGTCAGTAAGATTTTAAAATATATTTTTGTCTGCATTTATATGATAAAAAACATCAATATTGTGAAACATTATTACAATTTGAACATAACTGTCTATTTCTATTTTAATATATGTTAAAATGTAATGTATTTCTGTGCTGCAAAGCTGAATTTCCAGCATCATTACTCCAGTCTTCAGTGTCACATGATCCTTCGGAAATCATAATAATATACTGATTTGCTGCTCAGGAAACATCTATTATTATTATCAATTTTGAAAACGGCTTAATACTTTTTTTTTTGGAAACCTTTCAGGAATCTTTGATGAATAGAAAGTTAAAAGATCAGCATTTGTTTGAAATAGAAATCTTTTGTTACATTATAAATGCCTTTGCTGTCACTTTTTATCAGATTAATGTATCCTCGCTAAATCAAAGTATAAATTTCTTTAAAAAAAAAAAAAAGTGTTACTGAGCCCAAACCTTTGAATGTTGGTGTATGTTGCCAAAATATAAGAAATAAGATTTGAGCTCTTTTATATTATGCATTTAAATAATTAAACAATTGAATGCACTTGCTCGTGTCTTTAACAGGAACGGGAAAACTGGGCTTCTCTTTTGTGAGGATCACGGCTCTGATGGTTTCCTGTAACCGGCTGTGGGTGGGAACAGGAAATGGTGTCATCATCTCCATCCCTTTATCAGACTGTAAGCCAATATCACACACGCAAACATGCATACATCAGTATTTGATGTGGAAGGCAGCATTAGTTTCAGTCTCTTTGGCCACTTCTCTCTGTTTTTCTCCTCCTGTCTTCCTTTTTCTTGCCTTTCTTGTCTCCTGTAGCTGTAGGTCAGTGTGGATATCTAGGTCAGAGGGGTGAGTGGGAAACACTGTTGACAGCAGGCTAATTCTGAGACAAACCTGTCTTGCTTTGCTTCTTTGCTGCATCTTGCTCAGCTTTGTTCAATATTTCATCTGCAAGTTCTTAATTCCTCTCAGATCTTCCACTCTCTTGACTGTTTTTCCATCTTTCTGGGCTGATCAACAGTGAATCTGCATCTAGCCAAAATTTGCTTTAATGCTTTAATATTAATGAGTGTCTCCCAGTAATTTCGCAAATTGAATTTGACAGGGACTGCGTGATACTGTCTCTTTGGTGCTCTGTTAAACGCTTTAGACACATCTTTTTGATTCCCCAGCAGCTCATAAGACTGTAGGAGCGATCGCCTGTCGTCCAGGTGGGGCGGTGCGAGTGTACGGCAATGACACTGTGGATGGTGCAGTGACGGGTTCGTATGTACCCTACAGCTCCATGGCACA